GATCCTCTGGATGCTCAGGGCAGTGGGTGCAGCTTGAGAGGAGAGGGCCCCTGGATGCCAGAGTGCTGCTGCCCATCACTGGCAAGATACCTTATTGGTTTACCTGAGTGGACCATTTCTGTGTGTGCTGTGACAAAGGCCAGGCAGCACGGAAGTCACGAAAACAAGAGGCCAAGTTTATCACCCTCCCAGAACATGTCCTCTAGTGGGGATGAGACATGCCATAAACAAATAGGTGGTCAGGTCGCTGCATACTGCAGAAGTGGCAGGAAGAACTAAGTAAGTAAAGATCAGAGAAAGAGAGTCAGGGTAGGACAAAGTGGGCTGCTTACTGAGGGTATCATTACAGTCAAGGCCACTTTTGGGGAATTTTTTGTGGGAGACACTATAGATTGGCTCATAAATACTTGAAAACAATAAACTGTTCCTCAGAGAGAAAACCCGGTTCCTATTCGTTTTATAGCTAACCTGTTGGGTGACCTTGGATAAGCCACTCAGGGTCTCCCTTTCCCATCTATTTATCAGAGATGGGTGGCTTGAACCAGGGATTCTTCACATTTTAGGAGGGGCACATGCCCCTCTGAGAGACTAAGTGTCTCTCAGACAAAAAAGCACAAACATAGAGAAATTTGTCTAACAAGGTCAACGGGCTCCCTTTAAACTCCCCAAATCCTATGCTCCATGAGCCTAGATGTCCTTTCTGGGATTGACTCTGGTACCTGTGTCTGAGTGACATGCCTGCAGGGTGGACAGCCTTAGGAAGCCCTCTAGATGTGGTTTGGGATATGATTTGGGTTAAAGTGCCAAGGAGGCCAATCAGACTTGACACCAGCCAGCATCAGGAGTGGACAGCCAGGCAAGTAGTATTTAAAAAAAAGAGAGAAAAGCAGGCTGGACTAAGGGACACCATGGTACAAACATGACCCATTCCAGCGGGCATTTAAACCAACGGGAAATGGGCAGTAGAATGGGAGGGGATGCTGTGGGTAAAGTAAGGGGACCCTGCCCAGTTTGGAAAGGGCAGTTGCCTTTCAGTTCCAGCCAGTTGTACCATGGGGAGGGGGACTCAGAGGCACCAATTATTTTTATTTTTCTAGAGAAGTCTTATATCTGAGTTTGGAGACCTCTTATTTTTCAAGTGATAGCCAACAGTTATTGAAAAGACTTGGACGAGCAGTTTGTGATTTCCTCCCTCCATGGTCCAGGCTGCTGGTAAGATGGAGAAACTGAGGCTTAAGAATAGATACCTAAATTCCTCTATTCCGTGTCCTCCCACATGAGGTCCATTTTCGTCTCCGATAGTAGTAACAGCATTTATCATTTATCGAGGTTGTGCACATCCACTATCTCATCCTCCAGCTGCTACTGGCAGGGCAGGCATTCTCTCAAGGTCACACTAGTAAAGATGACAGAACAGAGACCTGAGAACTAGGGACTCTATGGCTCAGTGTTCTTCTCACCACATCACAATAAGAGGAGTGGCTTGTGGAAGTGGTAATCCCTATCAGAGAACCCCAAGCCTCGTGCCCACTCTGGGGACTAGCCCTGCCTGAATAGATACCTGTTCTCTAATCAGATTAGACCTGGCATCTCCAAGAGCTTTAGTAATCTGGGGCTGGCTGGAGCACTGCCTGGAAACCAACCAAGCAATAGCGTGGGAGGGTTGGGAGGAACACTGCTTCTAACATGGGGGCCCTCTACCCTTGTCCACCCTGACTGCTTTGGCTCCCTGATCTGTGCCCCCTCTCTTTACTCCAGGACTGGCACAAAGCATGTGACTTTGCTGAGATGTGCAGAGAGGGCTGGCCTATGCCCTTACCTGTGTAGGCATCTCTCCCCATGCAGCTGCTGTGGCCACACCACCCACGAAGCCAGCAGAACACATTTGTGAATTATATGGGGCAACTTGTATCTTCCTTTCCCCTGTAAGAGTCTCATGCCTGGCCGCTACAGCCCAAATAATTCCATAGTCTGGGTAAGTATTTCTTCTTTTGATGGCAGAAGAAATCAGGAAGGCTAGCCAGGGGCCATGTTGGGAGGGTTCTTGTAAGGTCATGTGGGAAGGAGGATCCCTTCTGAGATCAGTCTGGAGAAGTGGCCTCAAAATTGAAGTATCATGCTATGGTGAGGTAGTTAGACCAGAATTCACATCTTTTAATTAGTCTATGTAATCTTGGTTAAAGATTACCTACTTTGCCACCTTGTACAGAAACACCAGTGGAAGAAACCTTTCTGGGGACATAGGGAAGCATCCCAGAGGAGAGGATACTTGGGTTGCATTTGGAAGTTAGAATAAGATGGGCCCACCACTTATCAGCTGTGTAGCCTTGGGCAAATGTCTTAACCTCTCTGAGCTTCAGTGTTCTCATCTACGAGACTGATTGTCACCTAACTGACTATTTTCAAGACTGTAGACGATAACGCAGCATCTTTGCTCCGATGCAGTATCTTTTGTAATGATTTCATAAGGTCACTTGACTCTTGTTACCCTGTTGAAAGCTTACCAGAGAAGACTGCAGGTATTCCAACTACTGATCTCAGAGTATTATCTTGCTTTCTGGATGGCAAATTTTTCTGACCACTCCTTCCCTCCCCATTCCCCAGGAAGGGGAGCCAGTCATAGGTTTACCTGAGTCTCTTCCCCTACAGAAAGGAAAAAGGCCAGACCCAAGGGAGAAGGTGGAGAGGAAGGGAACACTGGAGGGTTCCAAACCTTGCAACAGTTAAATGTTAACATAGGTGTCGGCATAGGAAGTGTCTTCTAATGACAGAAGGAAACGAGGGAGTTTGTCAATCATCTCCTGCTTAACAGATACAGATGTATTCATAATTATCCCTTGCCTCGGGCCTTGAGGCCCAGGTGGGCTCCAGAAGGCCTGTGTTCCTGCCAGACAAGAGTCCTTAAGGAACATCATGTAGACAATTGGAATGCCATTTATCGTGCAAAACACAATAAAACCCTGAGCTCTCTTCCTGTCTTAGAGACCCATAAATTATGAAAATTATACCTGCCCCAGGCCATGGACATATTGTTTTATTAAAGTTCCGATGAATAAACTTCAGGCTCTTAAAAATGTCCTCTCGGCTTTCATCTAGCACACACCTCCAGCATGGAGCTGTATGCCTGGGTTCGTTTGATTACCTCACAAACATACTTTGGAAAATGGGGCTTATTTCTATTCCAAGCTCTGGATTCAGCAGGCCGGAGGGGCCAGCTGGGGAGCTGCAGGTGTGGCTGGGGGTTTCCTGGCCATACAACAGAGTTGCCAAAGGGGTATCTTGAGGTATGCCCCCACGTCCCCCTGAGCAGGGATACCAACCCTCCGCCTTTCTTTGTGGCAGGAGCACCAGGCTGTTGGGGCCCTCTTAGGAGTGTGTGATTATCAGCGTGGAGGAGAAATTCTGCTTGTTCCTCATTTAAAAACTCAATCACTGGGGAGCCTTTTTACTCTATCTTCTGCTTCTAACCCAAAGTGAGCTAGAAGTCTTCAATTTGGTTTTCCCCACCCACTCCCAACCATGTACTGGGCATGCGGGCACATCTCTGAACCCGTGTCTGCCACATAGAGTTCAATTCAGCAAATGCTAACCCTTATTATTACCTAAAGCCACTTCATTACTGGGAGCCCAGGGGACAAAGGGCCAGTCAGGGAGGCTAGCGTGGAACCTTTTCTCTGGACATCGAATTTAAAAAAAAACAAGTGCATGTTCCTTCAAACAGCATTTGGATTAGTGAAATCCTAAGCACCCACCACCCTGCATAGGTTTTTGTTGTCTTTATTCTCCAAACCCAAGAGACAACGTAAAACCAAGGGCAGGTCCAACATCAGGAAAACCCAAGACTGAATCAAAACCTGATATACAGCAATCAGGACTGAGAGGATTAAAAAAGTACCTGCAGTGTGACACTTACCTTGTCAGCACAGGGAAACTTTGGAGCACACATTACTCTTCACCCATCATTTGGGAATGGGACAGGTTATGTGGTCTGGCCAAGGAGGCTGGAACCTATCTTTTAAGTTAGAGAGCAAACAGGACAACACTGAGGATGAACATCCTTTGTGCCTTCTCACGCATTGACTGGGGGGATCCTGGGAATGGGTCTGGCTCTCTCAAAGAGGAGCCTGAGGCTTTAACTAAGAATTGGAAGAGGCCAGAAATTGGACTCCAGAAAAAGCAAGAACTGGAGCCAGGGCTCTTCATTTTCCCCTCCAACTCCCTTTCTGCCATCACTGTTGCTTGTGTGCCCATGCTTAATGGCAGCAGACACACACACACACACAGGCACACACACACAAAATCAGTAATCACTCAATTCCTTTTCTTTCAGAAAACAAGAGGCATGTGTTCACATGTTCAAAATAAAGTTCCCCCAGGTACATAAACTGAAAAGTGGCCAGGTCTTTACCAGTTATTTTTGAGGGGTCAGGATAGGGGCAGAGGAAACTCATGGAAGGTCCATTAGAAGGGCAAAGGTAAGGCACTAAATGAATGGAAGACTTCACAAGTCAAAGGAACTGCTTTTGTACAATATCCACCAACCTGATAAAAATAAGGAACCCACCAAGGGCTTTCTGTTTGCCTTCTTAAAGCACTTGTGTGTCTGTGTGTGCTGAAATCTGCTTTGGGGGCACCAGGGCTTACCAAGAAGAGTTGCAGAATTTTTCTAACCTGAGCAGGCACCTTCTCTGCCTCCCACTTTCCCTGTTTGAGTTTTGTCATCTGTTACAAAGTCACTCCTGTGTAGGCGAGGAAGAGTTAGCAGCCTCTGGCAGAAGTCATCTATACAAGAAAGTGAGGCTTTCCTCTAGTGGGTAGGAGGGCGTCCCAGAGGCAGACCGAGGGACCACTGTGGCAGGAGGCCCCCTCTCTGCCCCTTTGTCCTGCCAGAGCCAGGGCTGCATTTCCCCTTGATGTGTGTTGACAAACTCATGCAGAGTCTTGCTGGGTGAGGATGTTGGGGATGTGAACACAAACACACAAGAAACGGCAGTCCTGTGTATATTTAACAATATATATTTATATATATTTTCTAGATCAGTACATTCAGTTTTTAACTTGTTTTTTTCTTCACAAACAGAAGAACTCTTACAATAGTAGACTTTCTAAAATAAATACTATTAAAATAGAGCTTCAAAATAAATATTCTATACAAAGGAAACCTTCTGTGGTAACTTTTGTTGTGGGATGAGAAGGGGCTACATGAAGAGGGACCAGAAGAAGTAGGAATGTGGTGAGGTGGGAACCTCGGAACAGCTTTTCTGTTTGTAACACGAAACCAGACTGTGGGGTGGTAAGAAGGAAAGCAAGAGAAGACACCACACAGCAAAAATGGCAGCGCAAGATTTGTCATCAACTGTCACAGTAAGCAGAGGGCATGGAAGTGCTTACCGAAGGCATGAACCAGAAGGCCGGTGAAGCTTGGGTGATGCCCTAGTGAACTGGTGCAGTGCAAAGTCGTGCTGCCCGGCCTCCATCAGCCATCTCCTGGGGCAGCGTGGGAGACTACGAAGCTTCGAGACGATGAAATCTGGATGCTTGGTTCTGACCAGTACCTTCTCTGTTGTGCAACCTTGGGCCAGTCTTTATCTAACTGGGCCCCACTTGGCGTACACTTGGGGACCCACACAGACTTCACAATGCTGAAAGATCTAGACATATCACGTGAAGGTCTTCCACTTCTGTTGGCTATCAAGGGGCCCATGCGAGCAGCGGGAATTGGTCTTCACCTCCTTCCAGCCAGGGACTATGAGAAGCCTTGGTTGCACTCCAACATCTATCTGGAAGGTCTTGGCTACCCTAGAGCCAGTTCTCAGGGTACTTCTTGGGAGTGTTGGGCCTTCACAGACCCACCCTCAGGGTGGGAGCAGCCACGGCCCACTAGGACAGGTGTCCTGGACCCAGGCTTATGGACCTTACCCTCTGTTCCAGGCAGAACCACCACCCATCCCAGGTTGAATGAAGTGGGAACCAGCTGGCTCTTTTCAAAAAAGGTTAAAACGAGACATAATCCAGCCAAGCAAGCCGCTGCTGACAAAAACACAATCAGCCAGAAGCACCCAGAGAAATGTGTCAGGTTTCTGAGCGTTCAGTCCCTCAGTGGCCCTTGCCTGGCCCCCAAGGCCCATGGGCAAGCCAGTCTTGTTTTTTTGCCAAGAAGCCAAGAAGAACATGCTGAGGGCTTGCCCTGCAACAGAGCTGGGAGAACCAAAGCTGCTTCACTGCTTCCCTTACCACTGAACACAGGGGGCACCAGGAGCTCGGCACACATCCATCTAGCAGGTTAAATGCAAACCAAAAAGAACAAGCCAGAACAGGGCAAAGAAAAAAAGAAAAAAGAAAACCCAAACCAGAAAAATCTGTGTTTACAACTATGTACACAAAAGTCAGGGTTCATCAGGGGTCGGGAGGCTGTTTGCCAGGAAACAGGGTCTGTGTAGATAGAGGGTCGGTGGGGTCGGTGTGTAGTTTGTGTGTGTGTGTATACACAGCTTATGTAAATCAATTCTCCACAGAATGGGTGTGTAGAACACCAAGATCACCAAAGTGCAACTTGCCACTGGGTCAAGTTTCCCATGGAGACATTTGAGAGGGGCCGTGGGAAAACTTCTGAGGCCTTGCCAAGAGTGGACGCGTGCCCTTCCGTTTTGGGGGTGACCTCTGCACACCTGTTCTGAGGAAAACGTCTCCAGTCCCTTCAGTACGCATCTGATACATTCAATTAGCAAAAGTGGTTAGCCAAATGTTTTCCCTACCATTCCCTCCTATTTGTGCAAGAACATCTATACATCCATCATGACTGTGGCAAGGGTAGCTACATGAATCAGCCTTAGGAAACGCAGATGCAATATTTCATACTTTTTACAAGCTAGCAAATGTTACATAAATAAAGCCTAAAATAATAAGACCCTCCCCTCCTTTCCTCCAATCAATAAATACCTACGGTTACGATTAACTTATTCTAAATCATAAGATGTTACTAAGAGTCTTCAAGAAGGAAAAAAAAAGTCCTTGAGAAGCATTGGGTGCATGCCAATCACAGCTACCTGCCTCCTTGCCTCCTTCCTGGAGGCGGTTCTGTTCCTACAGAACAAACTGGAAATGCTACACATGGTCTGCCTTCTGCAATTCCAGGTTCACCTGGGGTAGCTTTATAGACCCAGGCCACTTCCTCTCACAGGGGTGGGACGACACACAAAATATCACAGGAAGCAAAAACCCCTGCGCAATGGCTGGGGAGGAAGGACCAGACACAATACAGCTTTTGCATGCAACAAGTACCTACCCACTGGACGTGCTGCACTTTTGAGTCCTTTAGCACCTTGAGAGAGAGTTGCTACGTCTTTGGGGGCTGTTGGGAGGGGTGGTGTGGCCACGCACAGAAGCAGGGCTCAATCCCAAAAAGCCCCTGGAGAATCTCCCACCTCCCTTGCTCTTCTTCCTCCCCCGCCAGGGCTTCCTAACACTAAAATAGACTCTTTTTTCATCATCTGTCTATTTACATTAAAGATACAGACACATCACTGTACACAAAAGGCTATGACAGCAAGCAGCAGAATCAGAAGAGAAGAAACGCACACCCAGCTTGGCTCTACCGTCGCTCTGCCAGTGGGAGGTGTTGCCTCTCTTCTTTGCTGTTAAAATCCTCTTCTTGGTGGGAAGGGGGACTGTGTTCCTTGAGGTTGCTTGCCCCCCAGATTTTGAAATCAGCCCTTCCTGGGGGTGGCCCAAAAGGAAGCAAATGTTTCGTTATTGTTTCTTTTAAAACACCGTTATAGCATCTGGTTTAATTGTTCTATAAAAACATAATGACTGGATCCAGAGACCACAGCCTCAGACTCATTGGCAAAATGATATTTGGTCTCGCATGTGCCGTCCCAGTCTTCTCTACCCACAAAATTTCTGGAAAGGATCTGGGTAAAGAGAACTTGGGACACATAGTGGCAGGTGAGTCTGTGACTCGGTAAGAACCGAAGGACGGTGTTATGAGCTGAACACCCCCAAGAGTTAGTGATGAAGTTGTAAGGGAGAAATGCACTGTGTAGTGGCTCCTAAATCCATTTGCGGCTTCAGGGAGGTGGAGTGGGGAAGGAGGCCTGGACACACTGGCCGGCCTCTGCTCTTGGCAGGGGGGTGGGGGAGTGTCCCAAGTATATACAACAGGGATTGCCATGGTCTTCGCCTTCCCCAAGCTATTGGGGCAACCTGGGGGGCTGGGGGAGGAGGAAAAGTATACACGTCAGGGTTTCAAGGGTCTTCTTCAAAGGTCCCTTGGTCACTCAGTTAGTGATTCTTCCCAGCAGCCAAAGAGAATGGAAGATAGGGGGAGAGGGGGAAGGAGGGACTGGGAAGGCATTCAAGCAGCTGCAACTTCCGGATATGTGTCCACATCTGTGTTCCGTCTTCTGAAAAAGAAAAATCCCCTCCCTGCCCCCTGCTAACCACTCCACGCCCCTGCCACTGTCTGTCTGCCATAAAGTTCCAGGACCCTGAAAAAACAAAAAAACAAAACCCAAAGTGCTTCTTCATCCTCTTGGGGAAGAGTGGGTGGGCAGTGGTGGTCTCCGTATCTTCAGAAGCTGAGGGTGGGAGTGGGCAGACCAGCAAGCAGCCCCAGGACACTGAAACCTCTGGCCTCGCCTGGTCCTGGTCTTCTCAGGTGTCAGAGGGAACCAGGTTTTCACGGGGAGCGCGGGGGCTTCAGCCCACAGCGTCAGAAGGGCTTGTCGGGTCTGCCGGCCGTGGCATCCCCAGCAGCTGCCTTGCAGATGACGCTGTTCGTGTGCTTGCAGCGGCAGCCGGGGCGGCGCAGGCGGTCGTAGCCACGCTGGGCCAGCTTCACGCAGCCGGTGGCAGGCAGGTAACAGAGCAGGCACGGCAGCACCAGGGAGAGGGCGCCCATGAAGGACCAGCGGGCGCAGCAGTTTGAGCGGGAGCAGGAGCAGGGGTGGTCCGCGCAGGAACCCTCATCGTCCTCGTTGGTACAGTGGTAGAAGACGCCTTGCACCAGGCACATGCAGGTGCCGTAGTTGACCAGGGTCTGGGCTGAGCACAGGCATTCCTGGTTGCAGACCCAGCAGGAGGGCAGTGTCCGGGGGGATGCGCACTCCTTGCACTTACACTTCCCACAGGCCTCACACAGCAAGAAGTGCTTGTCCAGCTCAGGTGGCGCCGTCGGGCCCTTGAGGTCCAGTGGCTTGCAGTGGACCACCTTGGGCTGGATGCGCACAGCCCTTGGGGAGGCCTGATCGGCCACGGGTGGTGGTGCCATGTGGTCCAAGAGCCGCTGGTCGGAGGATGTGCTGCTGCTGCTGCTCACAGAGCTGGGGCGCCCGCTGAAGGAGATCCAGTGGTGGGTGATGTCCTGGTCGCAGCGGGCAGGCGTCGGGGCCAACTCTAGGGCTCCACCCCGGGTCCTCTTAGGGCCAATGGGGGGCACCAGGCCGGGGTTGTCTATGTAGTCATTCTCCACGTGGCTGGTCTTCATCTGGTCGATGGGGAGGATGGTGAGTGGGTGTTGGAGGCGGCCGTGGGGCATACGGCTGTCAAGTAGGGGCTGGACCATGACTGAGCTGGGAGTCAAGGGGACGCTCTGTGGGATCGGGGGCTCCATGGGGCTGGAGGTCCTGGACTGTGCAGAGGAACAGGCTTCTAGGGGCCCTGGGGGGGGGGGAGGAGGTGGGGAAAAGGAAGAAAGAGTGGATTCCAGGCATCAGTACTTGGCCTGTTAACACCCCCACCCCCCATCAGGTCCTGGGGGGTCCAAATGAAATGAGAACTGGATTCTCTCAGTCAACTCTCCAGCATCGAGGCTTAGATGATTAATAATAACAATTAATAGAGAGTGGTAGAAATAAGACTTATTTAGCACTTAATGAGCCACGCACTCTGCTAAGCACCATATATATTACGTCATTGACTCTTCCCTCTAAAATGTAACTACTATTATTATCCCTCCTCTAGTTACAGAAAAGGAATGTTCAAAGTAACTTGTACAAAGGCACACAAAAGTCAACCGAAATCAGCAGGAGTTCAAGCCTAGCCTGTTAAAACCCATTCTTGGGATCCCTGGGTGGCGCAGCGGTTTGGCGCCTGCCTTTGGCCCAGGGCGCGATCCTGGAGACCCGGGATCGAATCCCACGTCGGGCTCCTGGTGCATGGAGCCTGCTTCTCCCTCTGCCTGTGTCTCTGCCTCTCTCTCTCTCTGTGTGTGTGACTATCATAAATAAATAAAAATTAAAAAAAAAAAATAAAACCCATTCTTGTGAGGGCTGTGAAATATACTCTATTTTTAAGAAAGATAGCTCAGTGGTTATAAACACAGGCTCTGGAATCAGATCCAAGTTTGAATTCTCACTGCTGCCTGGCAGTGTGCCTTAGTTTTGTCATCCTTAAAATGGGTTCTTGTGAGGATTAAATGAGAAAATGCTACCCATTACCTAGCATCATGCCTGCCAGTAATCTGTCATTGTTCTAGAGTGCATCAGCTTTTTTTTTCCTGAACACCGAAAGGACTGTGCCAGGCATTGTGCTGAGGATGAGGTGACCGTAACAGATCGCCCCTATAAGCTCCCACAGAGTATTTCAGCTTGATAAACAAAAGCCTTTATTTCAGATAGTCACAAGAGAAGGAAGGGATGTATGTGATGCCTGCACATCCAGGATATTAACTTATTACTACCACTTCTAAGGGCAGCAACCTCCAGTGGCTAATAACCCCCGGCTAGGTGCACTTCTGACAACTTGGATGGGAAATCCTCTTGAGGGGCACTCACATCACCCATTTCCAAGTGCTGAGCTGAATCTTCAGCCTAAATGCTATTTACTAGAATAGCTAAGCCAACTCTGGATCAGTTTCTAATTTCACCGAGAGAGTGCAATTTTAAGTTGGAATCCCGCCAGAGATTCAACTGCAATGCCTGACACGGAACCCCAGGAAGTCACTTAAATCAAAGAGCGGAAACGACTTGGTTCAAATTTAGAAAGTGCACATTGTTTTCTATTAGAAGTGCCATTTCCTCGCCTGCTGACCTTTACATTCGGAATTCGGCTGGAGATCAATTTAAAGAAATAGCAGCAGAAGGCCAAGACCTCTGCCCAAGGGGACGCAATTTGGAACCCAAGAGAAAAATTAGACTCTGGGAAGAGTCCACTAGGGGGTGGGGTGTGAGACAGAACAAGGTGTAAACAGAAGGGAAAGATAATGGTCTTAAAATAGGGGAAGGACACCTTGTCCCAGGTGAGTCATCCATACTTATCAACGTCTACACTGAGGAATGAAGAGGCAGGTGGAAAAAGGCATTTAGGGCAACTCAATTTTATACTCCCTTACTTGGAAACAGTATTTGATCAGAAATGGTAAAATTGTTGGGGAAGGGCTTCTAATGCAAGAAAGCATCAAGTCTTTTCCATAAGGCTCATTGCTCGGTCAACTGTTATTTCCCATATGCATAGGGCAAGTGCTATTGGCTTTGCTCCCATGGCTCTACCTACTTAAAAGATGCTGGGACTTCTGTGCAGTTTTTTCCATGTTGGAGAAAGTCTGTTTAATGGCAACACCTGTCTCCTGTCTCCACATTCCCTCCAGGTGAAAGGAGAGCATCTTTTTCAAATGGGAGGCTTCCCTGTGCAGGGTTAGCTTTAAGTGTCTGGCATTTCTACCACCAAGAATGGTCATTTTCCAAGGCATTCTCCTGTGGAGACCTTGTGGTCAGGGTCCAGGGCTGGATGGGGGGATATGAAATATTCATCTATGGAGAGGAGTTGTTTCAAGAATCCAGGCAACCATGCACTGGGCATAACTTCAAGGAATGCTACCTTAGCCCATTTATTCTTTGCAGGGACTCCAAAGCTTTGCTTCTAGAAATAGGTTTAGGGTCAACAGACAAGGGTTGGGGGCCCCAGTTCCCTGCCATGGGGACTTTGCCTGGAGGAAAAGGTGTGACTGGGCTTCAGAATGGAAAATGCTGATGGAAGCATAGAAGACTCTCTGGCACCTCAGCCAGAATCCCCACCCTGGACAAAGACAACATGATTCCCTTTTCCAGAAGCTTGGGTCATGAATGCTCAGGGTCCTGTCAACAGAACTGTCAGTGGCAGTATTGCCCCATGTAGTTGGGTTTTTTGTCTCTTCAGACTAGGATTGGGACCTACCACGCTTGGAAAGAGTAAGGGAAAAGAAGAGAATTATTTGCTCCTCTTTCCCCAGTTGTATTCCTGGAATTCTTAAAAAACAGTCACATATTTTTTGTAGATAAAACAAAAGGATGGGCAGCCCGGTGACTCAGCGGTTTAGTGCCACCTCCAGCCCAGGGCGTGATCCTGGAGTCCCGGGATTGAGTTCCACGTCAGGTGCCCTGCATGGAGCTTGCTTCTCCCTTTGCCTTTGTCTCTGCCATTCTCGCTCTCTGTGTCTCTCATGAATAAATAAATAAAATCTTAAAAAAAAAGGGGGGGGGCATGGGCAATGCTCAAGGATTTTAATATGCCCTAGAATCAGAAGGCACATTAATGGAAAAGTCCCACCAGGATGCCAGGGTGGGTGCAGCAGCTGCAGGCAATGGGATGTTGGCCTTAGCAGGTTCCCATCACCCTCCAGAAGTAGCTGTCAACATCTGGGCTTGCAGTTGGGGCCAGACATGGAGATGGGAACTTGGTCCAGGATGACTTAGCTCTCTTGGGACATGCACCCAAGATGGCTCTAGCAGGCATATTCCAAAATGCATCTTCCCTATCATAACCCTGATGCCTGATTCCTTCTGGCCACCAGCTCAGCAAAAACCCATGGCTGCCTCAGAGCTGCAGTGCTCAAAACCCTCCTCAAGCCTCATTGCCTTACTTCCCCATTAGCAGGGATTTCTAGAGGAGGGTTGAATTCATTTGGCTGACAAAGAAAAACTACTTCCCGAGCAGCCTATTTGATGACCCCTCACATAGCTAAATGAAGTCTCAAAACAACAACAACAACAACAACAAAACCCCAACCCCCAGTTGGTTTTAGAAGATCAATCTCTACTCACTGGGACACACCCAGCTTCCAGTCTTAAGCAGTGCTGATGAACTTAAGTGCAGTTTAATATGTACTCTCTGCTTCCCCTGCAAGGAAGGAAGAGATTTATAATATAAATAGGAGAGAGGAGGCTTTGCCTCATTTAGGCTTTCTGGAAGACTGATAGCCAATTTGGAAGACTGTGGCCAGAGAAACAAAGCCAGCACTCCACTTAGAGAAGCACCTCTATCAAGTTTTAGGTGGCATTATTATGGATTAGCATGAGGAAAGGAAACTTTTACCTCCACTCCCAACTTCTCATAATAAATAGTAATAGTTGTGGAAGCAGCGAATATTTATGAAACATATCTTCGAATCAGGCGGCCTGTGTTAAGCCCTCAGTGATTTTCTCATTTAATCCTCACCCCATCTCACCTTGGAGAATAACACATTATGCAAGGAAGAAAAGAAGAACAAAGGGTCATCCCTGCACGTTAAGTGATCAGGACAAGATTCTAACCCAGGCAGCAAAGGCTGCAGAGCCTGCAGCCTCAACCCCCCAGCCCTTACAGTACCCCCTGGGTATTCATGTGAAAGCAGGAAAAGCACCAATCACATTCACAGCCATGAAGTCTACTAGTCTCCCCAGTCTGCCACCAGCCCTCAGGGAGCCTCTTCAGGCTCTTAACCAAACCAGCAGGGGTTACAGCAGACTGGCTTGGAGGCTGGGGGTTTGAAATCGGTCATCACAGATCGGCCCAGAGCTCAAGTTACCTTTGCTTCCATTTCAGTTTTCTTTGCCATCCCTTCTGTCACCTCATACACTGCTATGTTACTACGTGTGTTCATTTTCAGTTTTTTTTTTTTAAAGTCTCACTTGTAGGATCTCACCACAAAGCAGTCTCTGAAAGGAAGCGCTGGAACGGGAGGGAGTTCCCTCCCTCTCCTACAAAGCTGAACGTAAGGGTCCCCAGGGCACATTCTCAGATGGGGCTTTCTGTCCGAGGTCTGTGGGGAAGGGAGGGAGGGGCCTGAGTACGAGGAAGCCAGAGGACAGCCCCGGAATACTGAATCAGCAGGATAGTAAAAAGCCCAGAGCATAGTCCTGTCTTGGCCGCTCGGCGGGTCTGTGGTGTTCGTACCTGTGGGAGGGGCTAAGCATCTGGATGCAGACCTCACAAGACAGGCGGGCTGAAAGGAATAAAGGGACGTGTGAAAGGCTCATGCCACCCACCCACCACTTCCCCTTAACTTACCCTGGGAAGAGGAGTTAGGAAATACGTGGAAAACCTGACAATTGTGCTTTCAAAACTATAGGACAGCACATGACAGACCGGCAAAAGGCTCTGAATGAATGGGTCATTTCTGCACTGCTCCATTCAGGGTAGGCAGGCAGGCAGGTCCTTCCAGGGAAGGTTGCTTAACCCTTTATCAGTTCAGAAGAAAAGGCCTCTAGGCTGTCAGGGACTCCACCCACCACTACCACTTGATTCTTTGGGACACCATCCCGGGTTAGTTAATTAAACTCCAACCAAATCATGACGTATTGCTTCAAAAAGACCTTAAAAGGTGTGTGTGGGGAGGTAGGGTGGTGGTGAGGAAAACCAGGGACCTGCCTTCCTTACACCCCACTGAGGAAGACCAACTCTGCATCTCTTCAGAGAACAGCCCCTGTGGAAAACAAAGCACTGACGCAGCTGGATTTGTCTGAGAATCCTTGTGGCTCCCCCAGCCCTAAGGAGCTCACCTCTGGCCATAATCCGTTAGAGATCACCAAAGAAAACAGCTGCTTTTCGTCCCTTTGTCCCGTCACAATCTAGCAGTTCCCAACTCACTCCTATTCTCATCCACAACCAGTCAGCTGAGCAGCAAAGCCCCAGCACTAGCAGGGAGGAGTCTGAGAGGTCTTGCTGCACTTGGCTCTGGGCTGTTCTAACTGGCTTTAAAAGTTGGTTTCAAGATCCCCTTAAAGAGATACTAGAGGTCAAGAGTGAGGAAAGAACAGGGCTAGATGAAGCCTGTTAGTCACAAGCACGGTTTGTCCACAGTAAAGTTTGGAGGGGACCAGAAACCTAGACCCCCCAGGGGAGGGCCCCCTCTCACACCAAGATCATTTATCTCACCACCCTTCACCATAGATTCCTAATAATAGATTTTAGCTTACTTCTGGGATGGGGCAGATGACCACTCCCTCCTCCTTCTCCTAACCAGAAAAAGAAAGACTACTGGACAAGGGACAGCAGCACTCTTTTGCAAATGGCCACCTGCCCCAGAACGGCCTCTTCCCTTCTCCACTAGATCCAGGACATCTGTGCTCCCTCCCCAGTGCCCTTGCTTCCTCCACGGTCTGTCCTTGGAAAAAACAATCATGATCACAGCTGAATGGTGGAGCCTCTTAAACCCAGCCACATATCCGGGATATATCCCCAGCCTTGTCAGCTGTGCGGATCTGCAGGGTAGCCCCAGACCCCTGAGAGCCAAGAATACCCCGCCTCTTACATCATGTAACACCCCACACCTCCTGTGTAGGAAGTGGCTCCCTTACTACTAGGTCCTTGGATGAGGTGCCCAGCACAGCACAGCCCTCTTGGGAAGCCTCTACCCACCCCACCCCTCCCCAACTCTGCAGTGGAAGAGACTAAGGTCCAAGCTTAGCAGGTTTCCTAGCTCCTCATCTGCTCTGACCTGGCCTCTAGTATGGTCTGAAAGGAGTAATAGTTTTCTGTATGTTGCTATTCTCATCACTGCCTCCTTTCTCCAGCTCTTTTTAAAGACTGAAAATATATCCCAGTGGGTCACTGCTTTCCCTTCTATCAGGGGGAATCAAGGTTTGCCATGAGATGGAACCTTTCCACTCTTGCTCTTCCCCCCTTCCTTAAGAAGGCTTTCATGGTTACAATCCCAAATCCAATTTTTTCAACTGTATCCCTATGTCCAGGTTTGTGCAAGACTCCTCTTCTAAGTTCTCCTCACAAAGGAACTTCCAACGCTGTAGGATCAACATGACAGGCACTCTGGATTCAGAACCAGATTAAATGCCTTGGCTCTCTAAGAACAGTTAACTTTTTTGACTAAAGAAAGTGGGCTCCTTTCCAAACCTCCTTGGTACACGCATCTGGGTCCTACCCAAGAGGATGGCCTAAGGAAAGAAAAATGCTCTGGGGGCCCCAAGCTTGGGGTTAGATGTCACACCAAGGGGTTTAGCATCAGGAACTGGATGAGAAGTCCCCATGTGTTATCCCAAACTATTAAACTGTAGGGTGCAGTATGCCTCAAGGGCCACTTCTGAAGGTGTTAATAGGTGCTTTTTCTCCCCTTTCTTTTTAAATCACTTACTTTCAAATTTTGTTTTGGAAAGCTGCCTTCATTGGTTATTCAAGTCAGCCAAACCTCTAGGCAGAGGCTACTGTCAGGCTTACCAGAGTGGGAATGGGACATGGGGATGGAGATGGAGAAGTGGGTCCCAAAATATGCCGCAGAGTGTGGAATTCCAAAGAGCCTCACCTCTCCACCTATTCTGGAAGAATTAAAACAAAAATGGCACCTGTAAGCTCCCAATGATCACCAGTTCCTAGTTTCTGTCCTGCTTTAGCCAGGAATCATTCTAGTCTCTGTGTTCGGTCCCCTCCCACCAAGCCTAACCAAAGCTTTAAGGAAATGCTGTCATTTCAAAATGATGGTAATCTGGAAAAGGTCGTGGGAATGAGGAGGATTATCATTCCACAAAAAGAGGAATGACTTCTGAGTTCAGAATCTAAAAAAGGAATAAGAGAGGTCTTAGGAGTCTTCCTCACCCTAACTGGGCAACATTTGTCCATCAAGATTTCAGAAATATGCCATCAAAATGCCTCCTACCAGGTACTGGCCAAATGCAGCATCTTGGTTGATCACTGTGTGCATGGCTCACATTAATGGATTTGTCTGAAGCCTGCTGGCAAATGAGGTTGCTCCCAAGGGCTGGCAAAGAGGACTACAGATTTCACTGTAGACAAGTCTACATCTTTTCCAACCCTTCTGCTGAAACAGAGCTGAAGGGGTCAACTGCAGCATTCCCTTTCCTAGTCTACCCTACACTCAAAGACTAAAGGAAAAAAACTGAAGATTTCAGATGTTTACGCTCCATTCGTGAGATCCAGAAAAATCTAAACATTGTGAAATCAGCAGTGCAATATTGGGTAGGGCCTCAGGCCAGAGTGAGCTTTACTAAGATTGATAAGGCCATATTTCTTTCAAATGCTCTAGGCCTTCACCTTCCAGCTTTTGTAGCCCCAAGAGGCTCCTCAGAAAGATTGGAGAGCCTTGGTCAGCTAACCAGACAGGCATGCACTTGCTCCCGCCCCTCCCCACAAACTGGAGAATCACGCCACTAATTTGGAGGCAGGAAAGTGGGGGTTCCCACTGACCTGGGCACCCCACTGAACCCACACCTTTCCTCTCAACACTAACCATGCCTGGGGGTTCCTGGAGCCTCAATGGGGCAGAACGCAGCCTCCTGCCCTCACCGAGCCTTGGCAATATGGATGCCCATCCAGCAGCTGGTGAATGAGGCAGCCAGCAGCTCTCCCCTCTAATCACCACCATCCAGCCCCTGCAGCCCAGTTTGCTTCTCCGTCCATCACTCAGCCGTCAAGCCGAGCAACCATTTTCGCCTCCCTTGCCTTCTCTGCCCACAACCCCCAGCCCCAATCAAAGAGAATTGAGAAATTGTCTTATTGCACAAGAGCTGCTACTGTCTAAATGCTTTTTGATCGTCTTCATGGAGGGGGAACTGGGCGCAGCCCTGGCCCCAGTGATGAAGCCAAGCTCCAGCTGCCCTGGCTGCCCAAACCCGCCTTTGCCCCCCTTCTTTACCCCTGTGGCCTTGGAGATTCAGAATTTTCAGAACGTACCGTCTCTATCCTCTCTCTGCTCGGTGATGTCAAGCCTGGTACCACCAAGAAGGAGGGAAAGCGGGAACCTTATCTCTCCTACGCATGTAACCTCTTTCTCCAGCTCCCACAGGCCCGGCGTTATGTAAACGCACCTTCAGCCCCCACCACAGCCCCAGCGCGGCCAGGCCCCGGGGCCTGGCACAGCTCGGTGCCCGGAGAAGGGAGGCACGAGGAGGCCGAGGAGCGTCTGGCCCTGCAGAGGCCGGGGAAGGGGAAGGCAACTGCAAGGTAGTTGCACAGCATAAAATGCAGCAGCAGAGCAAAGGTCAGACGGCGAGGAACCGCCTCGCCAGAGAGGGAGCAGAAATGCCCAGTCCCGGGCCATCCCCGTGTGACCATCGAGGGGGAGGCAGAAGGGTAGAAAACCCAGTCCCTCACGACTCCGAAGGGAAAAGAAAAACCTACGTCGAGCATAGGCCGCTGCAGTGGGCTGGGGGAGATCTGGGCAGAGCTGGCACCGTGGGCACGGAGCCCGGGGTGGGCAAGCCGCCCAAGGCAAGAGCGCCCGCCGGACCCAAGAGGTGGCTCCTGACCGAGCCCAGAGCCTCCCATTCCAGCGCTCGAGGCAGGAGGGAAGAAACCAGGCCAGAGGCAAACTCCCGGGACACGCACGGGGCTTTCGGAGTCTCGGAGTGGGGAAGCCGGGCTTGGCAATGCCCCGGGGTCGGAAAGTCCGATGCCAGGCTGTGAACACCCCCGGCGCCGAGCCGGCCCAGCCGAGGGCGTTGGGGAGCTGCGGCGCACCGCAGCGGCTCGAGGAGGCGCAGGGAGAGGGAAGGAACACTGAGGCGCGCCTAGAAATAGCGCACCATTTGCCCCAGCCGGCGGGGGAGTCGTGTCGCGACTCAGAGGGGGTACTTTCGGATCCCGAAACCGGCCAGGGACTTACTTTGAGGAGCCGCAGAACCACAAGCATTGCTCCACGCCTGTGTAAATCCCCGAAGCCGGGAGGGTCAGACGCCGCTGTTCACGCAGACGTCGGCGGGAGGAACCGAGAGGACTCCTTGCGCCCCGCGCGCCAGCTCCGCGCTGTCAGCTCCTCTCGCTGCCTCCGCGGCGGTGTTGCAACCACTGCCTGGGAAAATGGCTTTTTTATGAATGGGAGGGAAGGGAGCTCCAGTGCGCACGCGCTGCATTCGCGATTCTATGAATGGGTGGGCACAAGAGACCCCGCGCGCGCATGCGCCGCGCTCCTTTTTTTATGAATGGGGGGCCGGAAAAGAACTTAACCCCTGATTGCTGGGGCTGAGTCTAGCTCCGCCAGAGGCCGTCGTTCTTTTACAAAAAGGGGTGGAGGTTGTTGTTGCCTTTTTTTCTTTTTAATGAATGGAGGGCGGTGGCGACTGCTGCAGCTGGCTCAGCTGCGCGGGCTGTGCCCCCTCCCAGCCTGCGAGAGGAGGTAAAGGCCACCTTCACGCCACTGCGGGCCTCGGCAGGAACCGTCAGTGTCGTTGGGGGGCGGGGGGGGGGGCACTGCGGCCTCTGAATCCCGGGCCGAGTCCTGGGTGGGGAGAACTCCTCAAGATCTAGGGATCTCCTCCCGCCGCAGGGGGGGAGGCGGGGCGGGAGACGGGAAGACTCCTGCTGGGGGGCCTTATCTTTCTCTAGCCTAGGGGCCTCGGGGGGAGGGGTCTTGAAGCTGCGCTTACGAAAAATTCAGGAAATGTCAAATATCCATAGCAAGGAGGGGCATTGTGGGGGTTGCTTGAGTGAATCTGGTTCCATTCCTAAGACTGAGTCTTCCTTGAATGAGTACAGGCCACCCCACCCCCACTCCACCATTTATTGGGTGTGGACAGCGACAGGGCCGAGGCCTCTTCATCTCCAGTAGCCCCCCACCCTGCCCCCCGGCGGACGCTGGCTATTAAGCTTGAGGCCCGGCTCTAGCCTTGCAGCGCCAGCCCCCCACCCAGCCCCGCCGCCTGCCATACCCCGGTGTAATGTCCTCAGTGCCCTGGCGCCTACCCGCCCTAGACTGCCCTGACAAGCTGCTCCCCTCTCCACCCCTTTGGGTTTCCCAACTCTCAAGGGACGTGGGCCTGAGGAGCCTCTGTACACCAAAGGCTACGGCCCTTTGCTGCAGTGGGAGCCTTTCCTCATTCACCCCCATCACCTCCCCTCCGAGAAAGCGGGAACAGCCCAGAATTGGCCAGGTGGATGGGTGGAGCCGGCCGAGCAGAGGATGCTGCCGGAGTGGCCATAGGATTAAAGAAAGAACAACAGGGTTCTTGAGCCGCGAAAGAAATGGAAGTAGCCAGGGATCCTTTCTTTGCAGTTAATGATGCTCTGTCAGGTGGGGGGTATCGCATCAGCCCAGGCCCTTGAAAAGAAAAGCCCCCGCCATTAGGCCTGACTCTGGGAAGGCGGGGAGCCCTCATAACAGCAGCAGGCCCAGCTCCGCCCAGGAACCGAGGAGACTGTAGCCTGGGGCAGGGGTGGGGGGTGGAGGGATGGGAAGTGGAGGGGGGTGGAGGGTGGCTTTGATGCTGGGATGAGAGCTAGGCCAGGGCCTGAATCGCCCGTTAAGTTTGTCTTGCTGGTGTTCTGGCTCGACTGCGAGGTTGTGAGCTGTCTTTTTCTTTCTACGCCACCAAAGGACTGCGCTTGGCTGTTGTCAGAGGAGCCAATGAAAGGCTTCCAGTCCAGGTCAGAGGTCTGGCCTTGGGCTGGAGCTGGGACTGGGGCTCTGGAGATGGGCAGTGAAGGGACATTTTGCAAACCCAGACCAGAACCCAAAGTCACAGAGTCTCGGTCTAAAATGTCTTCGTGCTACTCAGAGGTAACTTTGCAGTGTGATTTACTTACTTAGCTCGGGAGGCAGAGCCCCCCTCTTCTAGAGGACCACAGTCTTTCCGGACCTAAGACCTTACTTAAGCCAAAAGAAAAACTCTTTGTATAGATAAGTTGATAAGGATAGTAGTTGTTCAGGTCTCACCTTTGCTGGTACTGAAGTTCAGTATCATTATTCCCATTTGTCAGATGTAGAAAGAAATTGAGGGCAAGGGTCCTATACCTTGCTCAGTGGAAGATCTAGTAAATGTAGAGCTGATTTTCCAGATCTTTGCAGCCAAGCTTTCTCTACTTTGCTACCACCCTTTCTCGGCATCACAGACTTAAAAACCTGTTTTTTTGTTAAGTCATTTAAGCACATTAAACAAGGGAAGTTGGAGTAGTGATTTTGCAGCCAGCACTCACTCTGGGACTTGCTCGAACAATTAAAAGGATGGCAGTAAATACATCCTTTCTAAACTATCAAAGGAAAGCAAGATGGTGGTGGTAGTGTGTTGTTTGCTGTCCTGTTTCCTTGATTTAGAGGAATTAGCCAAGAGACAGATGGGGTTCCATTCCGGGTCTTTTCTGAGCTTTACTGAAGGATGAGGTGAAGAAACCACAGCCCCTGATTTGTAAGCAGAATGAGATTCAGAGTGTCTGGGAGGTGAGGATTATATTATGTTTCTACTTGGAACCTAAAGAGAAGTTTGGGCAAGTGCTATGAGAAATGTGTGCACGTAGTCACATACTGTTCTGTGTGGAAGCCTGCCCTGATTCTGGAGACTGGATGGTGAGAGGCAGACAGCCTTCTTGTTCCCTGCCCTTGTGAAGCTCACGATCTTTTGAGGAGACAGACAGACCATGCAATTTGAGGCTGTGATAAGTGCTAGGAGGGGTCTGAGTTGAGACCTGAAATCTGAGAAGCGGTAAGGCTGAGGGAGGTTGAGACAGATGGGACAGAGGGATCCTGGGTGGAAGCCCTGTGTGGGAAAGGCCTGACGTGGAAGTACTGATGGTAGGCCTCTGCAGCCACAGCTTTGCAAACAAGGTAGAAGTTGGCCTGGTGAGGTCAGATATTATCCTCTTAAGGATTTTTTTTTTAAGATTTTATTTATTCATTCATGAGACACACACACACACACACACACACACAGAGAGAGAGGAGAGGGGCAGAAACACAGGCAGAGGGAGAACAGGCTCCTCAAGGGGAGCCCCATGTAGGACTCGATCCCCGGACTCTGGGACCACGCCCTGAGCTGAAGGCAGATGCTCAACCGCTGAGCCACCCAGGCGTCCCTCTCTTAAGGGTTTTAAGCAGCTTGTGACACATTCTGGTTTGTGTTCTAAACCTCTGTAGCAGCCTAGAGGCTGGTGGCTGGGGGTGAGGGGACAGAGTGAAAGGTGACAGGGAATGCAGAATGTTTGCTCCCTGACAGGCTGAAGGTGCCATATTTGTTCTTTTGGATTGGGTGAGCAGTAGGCCTGTGCTTTTTTTTCTTTATACTTCATCTGACTTTGTTTACTCCTAAGGGGTTATCCCCTGCCCGGGTATAACTTTTCTCCTAGAGTCAGATCCTTACAGCCCTGCGTTTCTGCTTGTGCTAATTACAGTCCCATCACTCCAACGTCAGTGTAAACACCTTCACCCTTACCAGATCATGGCCAGGGGAGGAGAGTGGGTTCACTTCTTCTGGGCTTGGCCCTGTTAGTAAAGCTCCTGGCCTTCCCAAGACCTGGAAGCTGAGTTAGTGTGAATTGGGAGAGGCAGGAATTCCAATTCACTGACAGACATTCATGGAACGCTTACTGTGTGCCATGCCTGTGCTCAGTATGTTTTCATATGCACTGTTGCTTTAAAAAGCTGTGTTCTGAGTCTTACTCTCCCTTTCCGTCAGATAAAAAGTCAGAAGCCATGTTTTTAATTATTTATTAATTCCACCAAAAATTATTATGCACTTCCTGTGAGTCAGGCACAGTGCCAGGTGTCAGGGTTATAGTGATAAAAGAGAGAGACACGATTTTTGCCTTTTTAGAGCTCTCAGTCAGTGGTACAGGGGCTGAGGCAGGGTTGGGGGGGGGGGATGTGCTTTCCCCTGTAATCTTCATCAGGGGAAAGATCAGCGCCTTCATTTATTTCTATATTCACTTGACATTTCTCAACCTTATTGCACATACTAAATACTGGAAGCCAGCCCCCTCAATTCAAACAGATTACCTGCCTCCCCCTGTAGCCAAGTAAGGGACATAAGACATTAAACAAACAATTGATCGAAGACTGATTTAATTACAGTTAATATCAGTGATGCAATAGAAACTGCAGAGAGCAAAGTAGAGGGACACTGCCTACAGGCCCTGGAGAAGCTTCCCTGCAGCTCAGATCTGCAGAATGCAGTCTCTGCCAAGCTGGGCTCAGCGGCAGAAGGCTCAGAAGCAGAAGGGAGTCTCAAGGAGTGTTAGAGCAACTGACGATAGCCAGGGGTACCCTAATCCTTTGAGGAAAGGAGGGTATGTCATACCTGAGTTAGAACTGTGTTCTGGCCCTTGCTCCTAGGCTTTGTGACTCAGTGTGTTCATTTGTTTCAGCTTTGAGGGCTGGGGACCTCGAAAGACAGATGTGCAGACATTGACCAAAGACTGCTGAGGTTCAATCCTACCCTTACAAATTCCATAGCCTTGGACAAGTTATCCAAACTTCATGTACCTCAGTTTCCTCCTCTGTAATATGAAAACTAATAGTAGTCCTTACCACAGAGGGTTCAGTGGAACTTGAATGGAAAAATGCACACAAAACACTTAGAACAGCATTTGGCAAATTGTAAGTGCCAAATATACATTTAGGTGATTATTCAACATATGGCCATTTGATGTAGGGAATGAGTTAGAATTTTAAGAGGAGTCCATTTCTTGGGTGTATCAAAACCTCAGAAAGAGACAGGTAATCTAAATGTAAATAGCGTTTTCATTGTCAATGAATAGTTAAAGCAATAATACTGTGGCTGTCATCACTGCTTTAACTGGTACAATTCTTGCAGGATGAAAGTTATGGTGTTTTCAGTTGTGTGGCTCAGTATCTTAAATAGTCCACCAAAGAGTTGATTTTAACCATGACCAGTATAGATGCTTGAATTTCAGTGGTAGCACATGTGTGATATAATGCTGAATGTGTGCTGAGTGATGATTCTGTTGTATTAAGCACTTGATGACTTTGCATAATTCTTTAATTCTTTCTTTTTTTTTTTACTTCCCATAGTTCTTAATCTCTCAAACCTCTTGTGAAAAAGGGGTGATAGTCATGGTATCTGCTTCAGAGAGTTGTGAGCGCTGAAGGACATGATGTTTTTCAAATAACTTAGCTCAAAACCAAATGCACAGATATTTTTGTGGTACTTGAATTAATCTGTGTAACAGGAATATTTCAAAGATTTTAACTTGGTTGTGATGATATAGGTCGCTAGCTTCCTTTGCCCCATTTTTCTGTCAAGACCCTTGGTTTTCACTGTTTGCTGAGCAGGGCAGTAGAATGGTATGAAAAAGATACATTCCAGAAGACCTCACATAATTCAAGAATAATTTCTTCATTGCCTTCTGTGAAGTCAGATTTGCATGCTATCAGTTTTGGCTACTGAG